TTGTGTTCATCTTTAAGAAAATGGCAAGTTTAATAAGGTTTTCCCAAATCCTCTGCCTTTCCTTCATGTTGTTACAGTTTCGAGTCCAAAGCTCCTCATCTTCTCAATCTTCTCCCGATTCATCACCACATTTGTGCCGTCCTGAAGAGCGTTCTGCATTGCTTGATTTCAAAAGCACTACTAAATTGGGGAAATACTGTCTTGGTACTGGAGAGATCTATTTTGGCCCTCCTCGTCGTATAATACAAACTTGGAATGAGAGTAAAGACTGCTGCTTGTGGGAGGGCATCACATGCGACAAGGTGAAATGTCACGTGATTGGCCTTGATCTCACCTGGAATTGTATTGAAGCCAATCTAACTTCAAATAGTAGTCTCTTCCGCCTTGAGAAATTGCAGAGCCTCAACCTTTCTCACAATTATTTTCATTATCCTAACATCTCATTTGGGTTCAACCGTTGGAAGAGTTTGACACATCTTGATCTTTCACGTACGAGATTTCATTTCTTTTTCTTTTGTTTAAAATCTCCATGGCTTCCAAAACTAGTTTCACTTCTTCTAATGTGACAAATCTTTAACCTTGCAGGTTCAGGATACATGAATGGCTCTTTCCTGTTTGATGAGATCTTCTTGCTACCGAAATTGGTTTCACTCGATCTCTCTGGTACTCATGGTTTGCTTCCTGACAACATAAAGTTTCAAATGCTTGTGCATAATTTAACAGAATTAAGGTTTCTTATCCTTGATTCTGTGAATATGTCTGTGGTTGTGCCTTCTTCCTTGCTAAACTTGACTTCTTCCTTGGAGCATTTGAGCCTTAGCGACTGTAATTTGCAAGGAAACTTTCCAAACCAAGTTTTTCAGCTTCCATCTCTTCAGCTTCTTGATTTAAGCGACAACTCTCATTTAGGGGGTAATTTGCCCGAGTTAAACCAGAGTAGTACCCTCAAGTATTTGAATCTTGCAAGCACATCCTTCTCAGGAGAGTTGCCTTATTCAATCGGAAATCTTAAACTCCTAAAGGAATTGAATCTTGATAGCTGCCAATTTTATGGATCAATTCCTAGATCTCTTGCAAATCTTACAGAGATAACTCAACTAGATTTTTCTTCCAACCATTTGGGAGGGCAAATTCCAAATGTTTTTGGAAAAATACACAAGCATCTTACTTTTTTGTCACTATCATCAAATAATCTATTAGGTCGTGTACCATCTTGGTTGTTTTCTCTGCCTTCTTTATCCTATTTAGACCTCCAAAACAATCGCCTTACTGGACCAATTGATCATGTTGAGATGCCCAATCTCATTTTACAAGAAGTCTATTTGTCCAATAATGAGATAAGTGGTTCAATTCCTAGCTTCTTCTTTGATCTTGTGCATCTTACTACAGTCGACCTTTCTTCAAATAACTTAACTGGCACCATTACACCCGACATGCTTTCGAAGCTTGTAGACCTTGAGGATCTTGATCTTTCCAATAATAGTTTGCTGTCTTTGAGCAATAATGGCACTGCTGTCAACTATTCCTTTCCGAACCTTTTGTTTTTAAAATTCTCTTCTTGCAACATACACAAGTTCCCAAGTTTCTTAAGGAAGGCAAAGGGTTTGTGGGAATTGGATATTTCCAAGAACAAGATTTCTGGTCAAATTCACAAATGGGAAATAGAAGGGATGTCGACATTGTACTATTTAAACCTTTCTTATAACTTCTTGACTGGTATAGATTTATTTGGTTTTGGAAATCTTGAAACTGTTGACCTCAGATCTAACATACTACAAGGATCACTTCCCATTCTCTCAACAACTCGGGATTTTATGCAACAACTCTTCATGTCAGGGAATAATTTGACTGGCGAAATCCCTTCTTCTTATTGCAATTTGACTTCTCTTACTGTTCTAGATTTAGCTAATAATTGTTTGGGAGAAAAAATTCCAGAATGTCTCGGAAACTTGAGTGATCTCTTTGTCTTGGATTTGCAGATGAATAAGTTCCGTAGGATTCCAAATTTTTTTGAAAAAAGCATTAGGTTGGAAACCCTTCATCTAAATGGCAACCAGTTGGAGGGGATATTGCCACGGTCTTTGGTTAATTGCAGTAACTTGGAAATTCTAGATGTGGGGAACAACAACTTAAATGATACCTTTCCATGTTGGTTAGGTATTCTTCCATCGCTAAAAGTTCTCATCCTTCGATCTAATCGATTTCATGGTGCCATCAACGATTCTATGCCTGCATCTCACTTCCCTCAGTTGACAATCGTTGATGTTGCACAGAACGATTTTATGGGTCTTCTACCGAGTAACTATTTCAAAATTTTGAAAGGTATGAGAGATATAGCTCCAGATGATAAAGTCAAATTGGAATACATTGGTTACAGTCTGGGATGTTCAAGAGATGTAGGTTGCCGTTATTTTTATAAGGATTCTGTGAAGGTTGTAATGAAAGGGTCAGAGAGGGAGCTTGTAAGGATCTTGAGAATTTTCACAACTATAGATTTCTCGAGCAATCAATTTCATGGACCGATTCCTGACGAGCTGGGAGAACTCAATGCACTTTTATTGCTAAACTTATCTCACAATAGCCTCAATGGTCAAATCCCGTCATCATTGGGGAAATTAGCAGAACTCGAGTCATTAGATCTCTCATCAAACAAGCTTGAAGGCAGGATTCCAGAGCAATTGACCAAGCTGACGTTCCTATCAGTTTTGAATCTTTCACACAATGAACTAGTGGGCCACATACCTGAAGGGAAGCAGTTCAATACTTTCTCAAATGATTCCTACATTGGGAACTCTGGGTTGTGTGGATTCCCATTGACAAAAAAATGCAAAGAACCAAGACCACCTTCACCACAATTTAATGAAGAAGATGACTCTACAGCAGTCTTTGAGTGGAAGTTTGCATTGGCAGGCTATGGGTGTGGACTGGTGTTGGGACTTAGTCTGGGATACATTGCCTTCACTACAGGAAAACCATGGTGGCTAGTGAAGAAAGTGGAGAAATATCAACAGAAATTAGTTGGAAGGTGCAACCGAAGTCATAAGCACAGAAAAATCCAAAAACCCAACCAACACTCTTAAGTGAGTAGGTTTCTACAACTCTCACTATAATATTTGTGTTCTATATAAGTTCTAACCATAAAAATCAAGGCATGTTATATAACAGTGATGCTTAATTTTTCTACTTTTGCTTTATTTTATATAGGTGCAAGCAGGTACCGTTGATTTCCTACTCTGGGGAGATCAGGCAACAGTTTGCTTCTCGAGTTTGTTTCCATCATTTTCATGTTCATTGTTGATGTATAGTTGTATTGCCTTGTGTGGGAATTATGGTTATGTATGAATTTGTGTTGATTTCTTTTGGATTTGATCTATCTGCTCTGCACGCAGTTCTCGTGTATTTTGTTACTGTAATTTGATCCTTCTGTGATTTTTGCCGATCAATCTCTTCATATCATATTTTGTCCTCTTCTTTTGGTTGGGTTGCCTTTGAACGGTGCGTTTTACTAAATAAAAATGAAAATTTCTTAAAATGTGGTGTGAACCCCAATCGTCTCCTTTCGCCATATTTTCCGATCAATTGAAATTTCGAATCAGTCTCGAAGCGGATGCAGCCGAGCGATTTGGAAGAGAATTAGGATGCAGCCGTTTGACGGCCGAGACGGCCTCTGCTCTCTGGAGGCCCATTCTCTAGCCATCACCAACTCTAGACAGGTAAATTTCTTTTTGTGTTTTACATTCTGTTTTCTTAAGATAGTAACCTCTTGTATTAACGGAGGAAGCTGTGGTAATTTTCTCTGTGGAATAAATTAATGATTTTAAATGTGCATGAATGGTTTGGTGGGATTTTATTGTTCGTCCTGTAGATATAGAAATCAAGAGATTGTTTTGAAGACGACGGCATTAATTAAACAATAAACAAGAAATTAGGAGTAAATTTCTGTTGGGATTTTGTTAAAAAAATATCAAGAAATTAGCTTTAGCATTAACATTTGTAAGTTCTGAGTTGGATATATTCAAGGGAGGTAACAGTGGATCATAAATTTCTCATTCGTGAACTTTTATTTAAATTCTGTTTGCTTGTACTGTATGGATGGTCAATCATACCATGTAGACATCAGGCAGCTTCATCTTCTTCATTTTTTTTTTTTCTCTTAGATAAATTGGAGTTGCAGTTGTTGTTATAGTGGTAAACTCATCAATGGATACTTTTGCTCACAGATATAAGGTGTATCCTGCAGGCATCTTAAAATTAAGAGTCTATTAAACAGATATATGACCCAAGACACATCTTCAGAGGAGGCTTCTGTTGTTATGGCTGGTGTAAGTGCTCGTTTTATTTTGCTTCTAGAGCCTAAGAGTTGTTGTTGAAACATGACAAATATCTTTACATATTGTT